CGCCGCGTCTCTGCCATCTCCGGCAGCCGTTCATCCGCCGCGCCGCCGTATACCTTCACAATCCCGCCTCCATGCACCCGCCGTTCGTCCACAGCGTCTCCACCATCTCAGGCCCGCCGTTCGTCCGCCGCGCCACCGCCATCTCAGGCCGCAGTTCGTCCGCCGTGCCGCTGTATACTTCCACAAGTTCGTTGTCGTGCGCTCGCCGTTCGTCCGCCGCGCCTCTGCCATCTCAGTCCCGCCGTTGGTCCGTCACGCTTCCGCCATCTCAGGTCGGTCGTTGGTCCGTCGCGCATCCGCCACAGACACACACACAACCCAGACGCCGTCGGACAGCACCATCGGCAGCCTTGGGTTCCGTCTGCCGCCACCAAACCGCAGCCGTCGGTGCTGTCGCCCCCGACTCAACCTGCCACGGCTCCACCCCCGCCGGCTCGACCACCGCCGCGATCTGGCCGTCAAAGTCACATCCACTTCGCCGTCTACAGCCGGGTGCAAGTTTCCATCACGGAATTCCGGCTCCTCCGTCAAACACATCGCTCGAAGCCCTATTTGTATCAGATCTGAGCGCATCCGGCAGGGAGGATCTGATTTGCGCCGATTGTGGTGGGATGATGCGCGGCGGTTTATGCAGATGACTGACATTCGAGATTTATGGAAGTTGTTGAGCCTTGTTTACAATCGAGGGAAATGTGAAGACCATATGGATATGTGATTTGGGGGAGTAGAAGAATAGTGATTTTAGGAGGAGATGAGAAGGATGATATTAGGATTAGGTTAAGGGTGATTTAGTGCAAATTAGGTAATTTCTAGGTACAAATATGTAAATTTGAAAAAACTTTATTTATATGTAATTTAATTAATGGTTTAAATGTCAATTTTATTACAAATCTAATAATTGTAGTATATTGTTAAAAAAAATTATATAACATGTGTATGGATATTCATATTAAATTTCTAGAAAATTTATTATAGTTAATTTTAATTGATGGATTAAATATGTAGTTTTTAAAAAATTTAATAATGGCACAATCATGTCAGATGCAATGCACAACAACGATAAATAATTTGCACAACATCGTGTATTTATGTTCGTTGGATATTGCTCGATTTTGTACAATCTGATAAGCATTTATATGCAATCCGTATAACCCTAATGTGCACTCGCAATTCATAAAAAATATAAATAAAAATATTATTATTTATAATAGAAAAAATAATAATAAAAAATTCGGTAATATTTTTCATACAGTTCGACATGTTCGGTTATTTTGTTTATTTAACAATAACTAAATACGACATTAACCAACTAATATTATTCGATTGATCGTTAGAGTTACTGTAATTTTAGTATGTGGAACATGGTGTGTTATAAGGTGCAACAGATTGTTGTATAAAGTGCAATGTGTTTATATATAAAGTGCAATATTGAAATTATGGTATTTTATCAGGATTGCCTTTTGTTTTTTGTGGATATATGATGTGATGGATAGTAAGTATTAATCATACCGATGGTATTTTTTTATCACAATCCAAATTAAAATCGAACATAAATGATCAATTTATTCGGTCAGTTATTCGATTTAACCGCAACAACGAATTAACTTAATATGTATATTTATAATATTGTAGTTAGTATTTTAAAATTTAAACTAAAACTAGATAATTGTTAAGAATATAAAATTTCGAATTGAAATTTTTAATCTTATCAATTGTGGTAGTTATTGTATAAAAAATATACAAAATAATATTTTTTTAATATAGTTTAGTTTTTATTTCGGTTACTTAAATAAAAATATGACATTGTACCGAAATTCCCGCTATATAAAATAATAATAATAATAATAATAATAATAATGACAATAGAACCAAAATATAAAAATTCGTACCGAATTTCTGTTCGTTGGATATCGTCCGATTTTGTGCAATCTGATAGACATTTACGTGCAATCCGTATAACACTAACGTGCGCTCTCAGTACATAAAAAATATAGATAAAAAATAGTATCACTTATAATAAAAAAGTATAAATAAATAAAAAGAAATCGGTAATATTTTTCATATAGTTCGACATGTTCCATTATTTTGTTTATTTAACAATAACTAAATACGACATTAACCAACCAATATTATTCGATCGATCATTAGAGTTAATGTAATTTTAGTATGTGGAACGTGTTGTGTTATAAGGTGCAACATATTGTTGTATAAAGTGCAATGTATTGATATATAAAGTGCAATACTGAAAATATGGTATTTTAATAGGATTGCCTTTTTTTTAGATATATGATGTGATGGATATTAGAGTATTATGCCACTCCGTTCTTTATATTTATATTGCGTAATATTTTGGCGGGAGTTGTTGACATTAATTGTGGAGTGTGGTTATAAAGTGCAATGTGTTATTTTATAAAGTGCAACATTCTGTTATATAAAGTGCAATGATTTATACCTTTCTATATAAATTACATGTATTTCGAAAATTATTTTTAATATATATAATTGTACATCGGATTAAGCTAAATAAATAAAATATTTTTTATTTATTAGTTTTATCATATAATTTATTTATTATTATATATTATTTTTATATTATTATGATATTTTTATATTACTTTATTTAATATTTTGTTTATTATTTAATTTGTGCATAACAATAGGTACATAAATAGTTTTTTATTAACTTTCAGTAATTACAAATCTGACCCATGGTATTAAATTGAAATAAATTCAAAATTCATAAAATTGCAATCAAGTCATTCAACATTATCTAATTCTCAAAAGGTTTCCCCATCCCCTCACGTCTGTATTTCTCTTCCATTCACCCCCGCCGTCAGCCTTCTCCGTCCGGTGATGGTCTGCGTCGCCGATTTCAGTGGTCATTGACGTCCGACCTGTAAGTCGGCAGAATCGGCCGCTTCCCGGCGACGTCCCCTGATTTTTTTTTTCTTACAAGATCTGCCATTGAAGCTCAACGGTCGATTTTTCCAGCGCCACTACATCTGACTCGACTAGGTGGTGTAAGAATTATGAAGATGACGGCAGCCGGTTGCTGGTGTGTGACCGAGTTTGGGGGTGGAGGATGATGTAGGAGACAACCACTTAAACGGCGGCGATTCGGAGCTCCACCGCCTCCGGCAGCGGATTTACTTGTGGACGTGTGGCGGCGGCGATAGTCGGGGCGACGACGGGAGGCCTGCCGGCGGGGAAACAGTGGAGGCACTGCCGTGATTGCGGTCGTGGCCGGCGGAAGACGGTGGCGGGAGGCGTTGAATGGCGGCGTGTGTGTGTGTTTCTCAATTCTTCCTGTGTGTATCTGTGTATGTATATGTGTGTGTAATGTGTGTGTGTGTGTGCAGGGTAGATGTGTTAATTGTGAGAGAGAAGCTTGGGACCGGTGTGTAGTATGTGTGCTGTGTGGGAGAGTGAATGAGTGGATAGATTTGAATTGATTAGGTGAGGTGGGCCCTACAGTTTGTTGGGTTAAAAATCTTATATTGCCCTTAGTGAGTTTAAAATATAGGAATTTTTTTAGTTGTTGGATCAACCGATCCGATGGTAAGATTTATTCTTATTTCTCGCATTAAGAGTCATTCTCACCGGAGCGTGACCCTATATATATAGGGAATGGTTCAGATGCGCCCCGTTTTTAAAAGTGAGGACGTGAGACCTGATCTGGTCCGTTCACCACTCATCTACTCTAACGTTCAGAATTAATTTAGTACATTAATCAATATTTCTGATTTCGCGGGCGGTACGTCTTCAGAACTCTCTACTCTACTTTCCCTCTCCATTTTCGCACTTGCTCGTTGTTTCTGTTCCATTCTCTTCCATTTTCGATTTCGATTTCGATTTCTCGGGCGTTACGTGTCAATTTCTGTTTCCGTTTTATCCTTCGTAGTCTATTCTCGCAGATTCTCTGCGATTTCGCTGATTCTCGTCTTAAATTGGTGAGTATTTTTGCTGTTGTTTTTGTTTGTAATAACTTTTTCGATTTAGGTTTTTCATTCTTTCATTTAATAGATTAAAGTAATATGTTTTGTTTATTTTTTGCTAAGTTAGCTGTCTGATACTGCTAGGTTAGTGTATGATGTTGCTAGGTTAGTTATATTTGCTGCTAGGTTAGTTGTCTGATGGTGCTAAGTTAGTTACCTGTAGCTGATATGTTGGTTGTCTGATGTTGCTAGCTTAGTTGTCTTTTTGCATCTAGGTTAGTTGTCTTTTGCTGCTAGGTTAGTTGTCTGATGCTGCTATGTTAGTTCTCTGATGTTGCTAAGATAGTTACCTGTAGCTGCTATGTTAGTTGTCTGATGTTGCTCGGTTAGTTGTCTTTTGCTGCTAGGTTAGTTGTCTTCTGCTGCTATGTTAATTGTCTGATGTTGCTAGGTTAGTTGTCCTCTGCTGCTATGTTAGTTGTCTGATGTTGCTCGGTTAGTTGTGTGATGCTGCTAGGTTAGTTGTCCGATGTTGCTAGGTTAGTTTTTTTCTGCTGCTATGTTAGTTTTCTGATGTTGCTAAGTTAGTTACCTGTAGCTGCTATGTTAGTTGTCTGATGTTGCTAGGTTAGTTGTGTTGGATTCGCCTGTACCGTACGAGCTATACGCAGCGGAATTTAAAATTTTTCAAAAACATGTATTTAACATTTAAATACATAACTCGTACATACATATGGAGAATTAATAGATCGTCATCTTTAAAAACATGTAATAATACAAATTTTGATTTGTTTGAAAGTAAATACAATATTTACCTAAAGTTCTCGAACTCCTTCAAAAACGATGATGGATGAGGGAATCAATTCCCGGTTTGGTAACGACCATTCGTGATGATTACTCGCTTAGGAATTCACGTGCCTTCCCTCTAAATGTATCCACCTTTCAAATTCCGGTTCCGATAGCCTCTTTCTTCGCTAGTAGAAAAGTATCGGTTTTGTATAGGAATATTAAATTGGATAATATTTTTGGGAGAAAAATTTAAGAACTCTTTCTTAAATATATTTGAAGAACTTTTCTTCTTTTCCAACTCTTTGGAGAAACTCAAGTCTTAAGCTTAGAACACTTAGAAAAACTTAGCATTTTTGTGCAAACTCTTTACACATATTTATACTAAACTTTTTAGTATAAAATAATCAATATTTAGTAATATTTAAATAAAATCAGATTTTATTTAAATATGATTACTAACTATTGACTTTTATATAATAAACAATGTGGAGTGGTTCTCAACCTCCTTTAACCACTAATTATTATAATCCTTTTATTATTTTTAATCTTTAAATCATATTTAAAGATAAAATAATAAAATAATAAATCTGAAAATCTATTATATTATTTTTCTCCCAATATTATCTAATTTATAATAATCATATTATTATTTTGGATTTAAAA